TAGAAGCTCTCAGATGTTTTGGTTTTGATTCAAAAGCCACCAGACATGGGACAGGAAACGTAAGTAATTTTAATATCTCAAGAGCTCTCCGTTCTGTGTCACTTGACAGAATCTTCTGGGCGCAGATTTTGTCCCAAGCAATTTGGACAAATGGATCGGGAGGTCTTTAGAAACATTATTTGGCTCAGTCTCCCCAGTAGCCTACAGGGATGCTGGAGGTAGACGTGGGAGGCGCCTTTCTCAACCTTCCTCTTCTGAGCTGCAGAACAGAGTGTGGTCTACTGAGAGTAAGCTGATGGTATCTGCAACTGAAGGAGTAAGTTCAGCCTAATCTCCTCTAGGGATACTTATGTGGAGATGACTTTGACAGCAACATGGGAAAGCTTATTTTCGTTTGCATGGATTCACAGGACAGGCCTAGATCAGTGTCACCTTGACATTCTATGGTGGGAAAATAAACAGAGAAATGTCATTTCTTTAGTCCTAAGTATAAAAAGAGATTTTGGGGAAAGGATATATTTAGGGCCTAAAACATAAAAATGAGTTGCAGCGAACTGAGTTCAAACTCTCGCTACCATAGGAAAGTTTGTGCAATGAGAAATAGGAATTTCAAGAACGATATATGCAGTCAATTTTGTCAATTTTTAATGTTTAAGCTTGCACATTTAATTTCTGTGAAAGAATACTAAGTGGTGACAAGTAAATATTTGGTTTATGTGAATTCACCTTTGGTAGAGTTGGGAGGGTGGAGAATTAGGAGCAGTATGAGGAATGAAATTTTAGGGCATTATTGAAACGTGGAAAAATATGGAGGTAAAGGACAGCTGTTTATTACTTAGTAAGGGTTTACAAGTCTGCAAGGTACAGGTCTTAGAGTTTTGTTTTGTCTGCAGTCTTGTGATTCATTTCGTTGATGTGTTAGACCTAGACTAGAACTGGTTTCTAGGCTAATTCTACAGAGTGTTGCCACTCAGTGCCTAGTGTGCAAATAAGAGTGTATTTAAGAAGAATGGAGGGATCTTTTTTTTTTTTTTTCTCACATCTAAAGCCTTTCTAATGTGGAAAGCTTACCCGGTGGAGTGAGCTGTATAAAATTGGTATTTCTCATTAAGTAAGTAATACATCTTCCTACCCTTTAAATGAAACTAAATCACCAGTTCCCCTTTTTGTTCTCCACCAGTGGATTGATAGTAATTACTAACTAGTGGCCAAGCCAGTAGGCTAAGAAGTGTCCTCTTCATCTCTTCCCAGATTTACAAGGTTGCATCTATGTCTACAAATTTTAGCTTCTTGTTCTCTCCTTTGTATCTCTAGGATTCAGTTCCTCAGCACTTTCTGCCCCTGTTGCTTGAGACTCAGTGTGCCCTCCTCCACATTGCTGGTTAGTGAGAATTAGCATGTTAATATGATTGGTAGTGACATTTCCCAATCCTGTCTCCAGTTGATATCCTGTAGCCCATTGGAATATGGAATAGGAAGTAAACTGCCAAGGGGAAGCATCTTATAGGTGACCATGCTTGGAATTCCAGTTTCCAACTTTGTTGCCAAGTTACTTTGGTTGAGTTACATAACCTGTAGTGTGTACCTAATAGTGTGTACCTCATAGGTTGTGAGAGTTACTGTGACCTAGTACCTGATAAGGCCTGAGTAAATGTTTGGCATATTCTTGGTATTTCTTATGTGTAATTTTTTTTAAGTTTATAGTATATTGGTATGTGCATGTTTATTTGTGTGCACTTGAGTGCCAGCCAGGATCTTTTGTAGGATATTTACTCTGTTCCCTCTTAACCTTTTTTGGGTCCTAATGCTTATCCTATTTTGAGCAAAGGTAAATTCCTCCTGATCTCTCCTCGTCTCTGGATAAAGTCTGTTGATTGATGAGAATACTGTCTTTTTCTTTTTCTTTTTCTTTTTTTTTTCCTTTTGGTTTTGTTTGTTTGTTTGTTTGTTTTTCCCTATAGTAAATGAGATGACTAGCATGTGCAGGGCCCTAGTAATTTTCTTTTTCTTTCGCTCCTGTATACTCATACTTTTGGATTCTATGGTATTACTACTAATCATAGGAAAGACTGCCTGGGCACAGAACTCTTTTTTTTTTCATATTTGAATTAGAAACAAGATTGTTTTACATGCCAATCCCTGTTCCCACTCCCTCCCCTCCTCCCCTATCAACCCCTTCCCCAACTAATACCCTACCTATCACATATCCTTACTGCTCCCCAGGGAGGGCAAGGCCTTCCATAGGGGGTCATCAGAGTCTATCATATCCTTTGGAATAGAGCCTAGTCGTGCCTCCTCACCCCCATCTTGGCTCAAGGAGTATTCGTCTGTGTGGAATGGGCTCCCGAAGTCCACACCTATGCTAGGAATAGGTACTGAACTACTACAATGATGTCCCATAGGTTTTCCAGGTCTTCTCACTGAAACCCACATTCCTGGAGTCTGGATCAGTCCCATGCTGGTTTCCCAGCTATCAGTCTGGGGCCCAAGAGTTCCCCATTGTACAGGTCAGCTGTTTCTGTGGGTTTCACCAGCCTGGTCTGGACCCTGGCACAGAACTCTTTTTCCACCAACAGCTTTTTTCTCTCATTTGGCAGAAAGATATGTGAACTTGAAAAACATTGTCAATAAGATATCTGAAAAATCGATGAGATCCTTTGTCTAAAAGAGAGGTCATTTAAGCTCACATTTTAATATTCTTTTTATCCTTTTCTTGCTCGAAACTCCCACACAATTTGAGGTGCTTTATCAAAACTATTTTTATTATTGAATATAGACTTTTATGTAACTTTTATAGCCAAGTAGAGGAAGTTGTTTTGCAGTCATTTGATTTTATTTAGATTATTTTATATATGTGAGTGTTTTGCTTGCATACATACATACATGTATGTATGTACTAAAAGAGGGCCTGGTGCATGCAGAGGTAGAAGAAGGCATTGGATCCCTTTGGAGCTGGAGACATAGATGGTTGTGCATCATCAGATTGGGATCTTCTGGAAGAGCATCAGTGCTCTTCACAGCTCAAGCCATTTCCCCAGTTTGTTTTGCAGTCATTTATTGTGGGGCATCTGATAACAAGTAATGATTTATTTCAAAGAAAGTATACTGTTTTGTGTAATATTTCAAAATGTTCATAGAGTGGACTCCAAGAAACCAATACTTGGATTTCAGTAAAGAGCACTGTTGAGGAGATTCAGAAAATCAGTAATATTCTGGTGACAATTGCTTCTTAAGGTGGCTCAGTAGGAAAGAGTGTTTGCTGCCCAAGCATGCAGACCTGAGTTTATGTTCTTCAGCCTCAGCATTGACAATTATAAAGTCAATATATAAATCAACTCTGCATAATGGAATATCATATTCAGGCAATATTTTATTCTTTAAGTAAAAGTAAAGCATATCTGTCTTGTATTAAATCTTTCACCATATATATATATATATCAAAGATTGGTTTTAAAATAAAATTATTTATGATTTATTGTCAGTAATTATTTGATTTTACCCCCCCCTTTTTTTTTTACAATTGTGTAACAGTTCATCAGGCTTGAAGTGTCTATATACCATCTCTGGATTACTATAATGCTTAATACAATATTAATGCTGTATAAATAATTGCTGTATCTCATTATTTAGGGAATAATGATGAGAAAAAATTTCTGATTTTTCTTAATATTTTCAATTCATAATTAGTTGAGTCTGCAAATGGATATGGAACTTACAAGTTATGGAAGGTTGGCTATATATTAAATACAATATTAGCTATAGGCAACTAGCTTAGAATAGATTTATAGAACTTTATTTTCTATAGTTAATTTTTTATTTTATATTACAAAACTGGCAATCAAATAAAATTCAGAGTTCTGAGGACTGTTTTTCCATTCCTTACATTAATACAGGCTACTTCAAGGGACTATAACATTTTATCTAGTATTAACAACACATTTGTACCCTCCTACCCCCTTTATAAAAGAATAATCTCTTATCTCATAAAATGCATATAATTCATTCTCTAATTGAAGTGGCTATGCTGTCTGTCCTTTAGTGTTGGGCACCCTGTAAAGAAAGAAAGCAGACTGTGGCATGGAGGACAAATAGCTGTTGACACATGCTACAAAAATGACAGCATCTCTCTTGTCTTCCATGCTGGTAGGGATTGGTATTTGCTGTGTACTTTGATCTTAAGTTGGGGATAATGGGTGGAAGTACAGTCTTTTCCCAAAAGACAGATAAGATTGAGAAAAGTCAATGCCCCACATCTTCTGAACTTTTCTGGTTATATTGAGAAACGTATAAAAGCATTGTTGGGGGGCTGATCTTTTGCCCATTTTCACAGTAGCCAGTTCAGATTTCTTAGTGTAAGAAACAAGGGTGAATGGTAAGTGAAGATCTGAATTTTTCTTTACTTGAGAAGCTGGCTAATGTTGATTCCTGACAGTTCTTACTCAGGTTTCTGGGGTGCAGGCTACCTGCTACTGTGTATGCTGAATGTATTTGTAGATAATCAAGCTGTATAAGGAAAGCAGCATACTGTAACTGATAGGAACACACACATCTTCATTTAGTGCCAGCTCATTCATTGTTTACACCTGAGTTTTCTC